GCACCCCGGCGTGGGGGTCTGGAGACCACCGAAGTCACCTGCCTGCGCCCCTCCCTCCCCGCTGCCGCTGCCCGCGGGCCGGCCTGAGCCCTTTAGCGCGGCCGGGTGTCCTTTGTGTGGCTGCCGGGCCGCGGCTGCTGCCGGCCCTCGGCGGCCAGGCGTAGGCTTCGATCACCCCCAGCTCCCTCTGCCCGATCAATTACAGCCGCCTTTTCGAGGGACTTGAATCTGTTTGCCCGTTGCCCTTAATTTTTAGCATACCCGGATGAGGTTACTGCCCCGGCCCGAAGTGAAAAGAAATGTGGACGTTGGTGCCCTGGTATTGCTCCGATTTCTTCGGTTAGCTGAGCACAACTTTCTATTCGTGTTTATTCATGCAGTTTCTTATTGAGCTCCACATCGCACTGGCCTGGATTCCGCGTGTAGGGAGAGGACAGACAAACATTGCCTTTTTCTAGAGCACACACACACACACACGGGTGTGCAGCCTGCCACGCACACACACAGGCGAGTCCAAAATGCAGAGGGCACCCGTGGCCTGTAGCCGCATCACCCCCCCTGCGGAGAGCCCTGGGACACAGAAGTTTGTAAATGGTGTATAAAAAAGGGGGCAAATGAACCAAACCGCCCAGTTGCGAACTGACCAAGGGATGGAGAAGGTGGAGGGGGGCGGGGGGAGAAAGAGTTGGGAAGAGAAAGCACTAGGGATATTACCGACGATCGCGCTAAATATTCTCTTCTGGCACGGTAATGACAAAAGGCAGGGGCTGTCGGGATATAGCTATGATTAAATGATACTAAAGGATTTGTGTTGCTGCGTCTGGGGGAGGGACGGCTGGGAGTTTTTGTTTTCGGCGCTGTTCTTTTTTTATTTTGGAAGCAAGGTGTTTTCAGACCAGGAGGCTTCGAAGCGGCTCGGCACCTCGGGATCTGCGAGAGAAGAAAGATGCAAAAGAGTAATGAATAAAGAAAGGGGAGATGTAAATATCTGGGAGTGTGTGGTTATAACAGCCTCGCTGTAAGCGAGACGAAGTGGCAGGATCGGCCCTCCCTGCGGCAGGCAGGTCCTTTGCCGAACAGGTCGAAAAAGAAAGAAGAAAACTACGCTGGAAGTCAAGATCTGCAGTATCTAAAGCCAGACCGTGACTGACTTTAATTCCAGTCCTAGCAATTAGAGGGACATTTAGATCTACTGCAAATATTTGCTTTTTTTGTCCCCATAGAAACATCATTAGAGGAAG